TGGTAGGATTTCTTGATGTTGGCCACTTCTTCAATCTGTCGGTGGTACATACCATGTAGGGGCTTGTCCTTCTATGTTGGTTCGTCCTCTTCTGCTGCCTGAGGTATTCCCTTAGCAGCACATCTTTGGCAGCCATGTTCTGGATATATTCCTAGACAGTGGCTCTGACGCTCACCAGTCCTCAGCCCCCCTCACTACGCTTAGTGTACAGTCTCACATTGGAGGACGGGGTTTTAATCCCGGCCTAGGCGCACATCATCCAGTAAGGGTCCTCAGGCAAGATTCCTAATGCTATACCTGCCTACCTCAGGAAAGAGCTATTACAGTCCTGATAGAGTCATACTGGCTCGGACGTTGCCCGGGTCAACAATGTCCGCATCCTTTGCTAGGGAACCAGGGCAATCTGATGACAAATGGGCTACTGGAACAAGTCATACATGGGCAAGGGCGGAGAACATCTGAAGTGTGCAGTCCTAGGAAGAGCTAAGATACTGGTCAGAACCTTCAAACTCCCAGGCCTCTGATGGAGGACCTGAACTTGAGGATGATACAGATACCACCCTAATGTGTAAAATATAATGGGTTTACTACATTTTCAAAGCAATTCAAAGTTTTAGATTATTAAGACAAAATATAAATCAACTAATGAATTGTACGCTACACAGCAGTATATAAAGTAACTGAAACAGGCTCCACCTTTACCTGCTGCAACGTGTAAGTAATGAATACATTAATGCGTCAATAATTATACAGTACTATAATATATATGATATTGAAATGGACTATTCTGCATAATGAGTGCTTTAAACTTAACACTTAAACTTGGTTTTGATGCCAATACTTTAGAGAAGAGGTAACAGTATTTTTAAACTGTAGTATTCCTACTACTTCTACTGAAGTTAAAGATCTGAATATTTCTTCCATCAGCGTTGATTATAGTAAAACATTACTTTGTTAACCCTGCTGGTTGTTTGGTCATCACCAGTGACGGTTTCTAAAGAGCCTGGCAACAGAGCCGAAGCTAACTTTGGTCATTAGCGTTAAAACTCACAGACGGGTGCTCCAGGAAGACTTGTCCGCCCTCCACCCAGGCTCCCACCGCCACCACCGCCGGGTTCCTCTCAGCCAGCACCTTGTTGGCTCCTCTGGGGACTGGGGGCTCCTTCGTCCGGCTGACTGAAGCTTTACATCTGCAGCTTGTCGCTGTCATCCGCCGGGTGGCACTCATTAGTGACGTTAGCCTCGTTAGCTAGGATGCTAACTCACTGCTTTTTTAAATACTTTGTCCGTGTTCAGTGGGCCTCGTTATAGATTGATATTTACGTAACAATATGGCGGTTTTAAGGACTGTATAACGCACGATATTCGCTGAATGTTTGAACAATAAAACAAAGAAATGTCCCGCTAACGTTTGTGAACAGTTGCTGAACACCAACAGGTTTGTTTGAGTTTCGCTCATTTAATCTTCTTTTAGTTTCCGGCGTTTCACAAACAGCTCACTGGCGCAGTGCTGCCCCCATCTGGACAGGAGGAGGAATAACATAACATAACAAAAAGAAAAGAAAAGAAAAGAAAAGAAAAGAAAAGAAAAGAAAAGAAAAGAAAAGAAAAATATGAAATAAAATAAAATAAAATAAGATAAAATAAAAAATAAGTTATAATTATTATCATTATATATATATATTTTTTTGAATATATTTATTATTATTTGTACTTATGTATATATTGTGATGTATGTAGCATTACACATATACTGATGATTTTATACCTACTATTTATAATTACAATTTTTGTCCAGTCGTTTTATTAACTTTTATTGTATATTATGGAATTGTTTGATTTTATGATTTTACGATTTTTTTTCGTAGCTGTGTCTTGTAAGGTGTCCTTGAGTGCTTTGAAAGGCGCCTATAAATAAAATGTATTATTATTATTTTTATATTTCTAACTTTACACACTAGCTTTATACACTTTAATGTAGCATTATATTATTTTTATACATTTTACACTTAACAATCAGCACATTATACTTTTAAATATTTTACATACTGGTGTTAACATTGCAGCATATTTCATTTTTATATTTTTACATACTTCATATTTTTTATGTATTTTTCGATAATTCCCTGCAATTTACATCTGAGCGACTGTAACAAACAACGATTTGTCCCTGGAGATCAAAAAAGTATTTATAATTCTGATTCTGAATCTGACAACAGCAGGTAGAGTTATCAATTATCCCAATGACACCGGAAATTAACTAAGGACATTTACTCAAGTACTGTACTTAAGTATAAGTTCCATTTCCTGTTATATTTCTACTTCACTAGAGAGTAAAATATTGAACTTTAGACTCCACTACATTTATCTAACAACTTACTTTATTTAGGATAAGAATACAAAATTGAATCAGTTCATAAATTATGATGTATTATAATGGATAACAGTATGACTTTACTGATCCCTTTATAAAATGCACATGCTACCAGGCAGTATATATGGTATTTAAAAAAGAGAAATAAAAGAAAAAAGCTCCAAATTTACCAGCTGCAGCATTGAAGTGTTGCACACATTAATGCAGCTTTATATCATTATAATTCAATAATATAATAAACATCTGAAAAGGGGACATTTTGCAAAAGATTTGTTTCCCTTTTGGTGCAAAATGTATATTTTGATGCAAATATTTTGTACACATGGATGCATTACTTTTACTTGTAACAGAGTATTTCTACACTGCAGCACTGCTCAGATTATAACATTAAATACTCCTCTCATAAGCAGCAGTGAACTGGTGAAGACTCAAAAGACGGATAAACCCCTCAGAGTCAGCTGAATGGGATGAGACAAATTGTTGTGTTCTCTCAGGCTCTGAGCTGTTCTTCAATGTCACATTGCATTGTTTCAGCCTCACTGTGCTGCTCTGGATTCACTGCTGCCACAATACCATCACTGTATGCACGGCTGACTGGAGATCAGTGGGAGAAAGCTAAAATATAAAGTGATGAAATGCCTCCTGAATATCACCGACGCTATCAGGGAACTTCAGTGTAACACCAGGGGCGGGATGTTCTGCATGTGGGTCATTGTAAAAGGATTAATGTGACAGAGATTATAGTGTGACGGAAACTTGGAGGTCCAGTGTTTAGGATTTAGTGGCATCTAGCAATAAGGTCGCAGATCTGAAACTTCGCCTGTGTGCCAAATGTGTAGGACAACTATGGTCATTGACAGGAAATGTGAGTGTTTGCCCGTTCGCAATTTTGCAAATCCTAGGATGGTGAAGGAACCACCTACCCTAGTCTCCCTATGACTTGCCAGCCATCGTTGCCTTTGTTGGTTAGACTGGTTAGGTTTAGGCAAGAGGAGGATTGGTTAAGGTTAGAGTAAGAATGTCAGAGTAAGCCACTCAGAGGCAGAGTAATTCAGGATTTATACTTCTGCGTCATATCAACGCAGTACCTATGGCGCTGTACCCAACACTGTAGCCTGACATGCACCTCCCCAGAAATGTAACTACACGTCGCAGCGACGCAGACCTCCTGTCTGTTTCTGTAAGCTGAAACCATTTCCCTCAGTGGAAACAAAGCTTGAAATTTACTTTAATTTCACAGATAAGAAACAATAAATTGAAAAGACAATAAAGCCTCCAGGAAAATAGCATTTTAAATCGCGTGTGTGATTTATCCTGGCTTCATATGAGCAGAGGAAATCTCCGCTTGTCGCTAGGCTAATTTATACAATGTAAAATGCCATAGGCTTGTGCTAATAACGTTAGCATGTTGTATTTGTATGGAAAACACGTTTGGTATAAGACAGTTGTTTTGTCGGTGAACCTTGTGAGTTTTAATGGAGCAGAATTTTGTAACGTTACCTTTGTTAAATGTTGCTGTTGTCCCTGGCTGAAATATGAGTAGAGGAAAAGTTCACTAGCTGCTAGGCTAATTTATACAATGTAAAATGCCATAGGCTTGTGCTAATAACGTTAGCATGTTATATTTGTGGGGAAAATGTGTCCAGATAAAGACAAGTGTTTGTCTGTGAATGCTGTGAGTTATAGTGAAGCTGATTTGTGGACTTGTCTCTATTAAGCCATGTTTAATGTGTGTTTGATGTGTGCTGTTAATCAACCAAACTTTACAGCACTTCATAGAAACCCTGCTGCCGACTTTGGGAGGTGTTACTGCAGCGAACACACCCCTGCACAATTTGAGATGCTCACAACGGTGAATGGCCCACCTTAAGGTGTAGCCAACATACTGTAGCTTACACAGCTATGGTGGCTACACCTTAAGGTGGGCCAATCCTTCCCCATCCTAAGATTCCCATACTCGCTGCCCATTCTGGGCTACTGTAGAAACAACATGGCACACTGTGGAGGAGAAAAAAAACCTCTATTGAACAACAATAGGTTCCTGCAAGAATGTTGGGCCCTGGCACTTTCGTGCTTGGGCCCTAATTAAGTAAATCATTAAACTACTGACATTCATACAAAGGCTTTACTTACTTAATTTCTTTATTAAAAAATTACAGTATTTTACCAAAGGAAAACAGAATTACATTGCACTGCACAGTCAGTACGTTGACATGACACTAGAGAAAATTGATTTTTTTGTGTCAGTCCGACTAAAACCAGATTTTTAAAATAAATGTTAACATGTTAGTCCCACTTAAATAGTACTAAATTGAATTTCGCAAAGTCGGATTAACACACCAATATAATATGATTGGGAGTTTAATTCCTCCTACATGTATACAGTCAATCAGACCCAAACTGGCCGAGGCGCTCTGAGCATGCTCCACATTTTCCGCCCCGGGCTTTGACCTGGAAGTTGAAGGCATTAAATGCATGAGAAAAAGAAGCCGGTAACAACATGTTGCAATCTACATCCAGAGCTGTGACTTTTTGGACGGACCAAAACCAGTTAGCTGCTAGCTAACCATAGCTAACTTGTTCGTCCATTGTTTGGTCTGTGACGTAATAGGTCAACTGGAAAACGGTCCAATACTAACAAGCTGAAAGGGGGCATATCTCCACCTATCGTAGAGGAGTCGGACATACTTGGGTCAATAAATGGATTCCCCTACCGTGCTTGTATACTGGGACAAGGACAGTAGTCCAGTTAAATGGCCTAGTTGAGCTGTAACTCCACTTCACTGTGCATGTAAGCGTACTGAGTGTGCCACATGGTCATTTTCAGATATAAAGGTTGCTCTGAATGTTGGTGGTTCTGACAAATTTGCGAAGGACGTCTGTGCTCGGAGACGTGTCCAACTGAGGGGACAGAGAGAGAAAACAGGAGATCAAAGTGTTAACAATGAGGAGAACATGGAAAGACTTCAGATACATTTTAGTTGTTCTCTGACGTTTAAATATAAAAAGAAAAGCAGCTCACCTGTATGGACTTGCCAAGGTTTGTAAGTGCAGGCTTGAAGGTCTCCATGGTGACAGAGTCAGGGCCGATGACATCACTGTAACACTGGTAAACAACAGTGGCGATGCGGTGGACCTCGCAGTGGTTCAGTACTGATGAAACAGCATAAAAGAAGAAGAATGCAAGGTTATCCAACGACCAGAATATGAATCAGAACGGCTGAGGACTTTGAGTATCTGTAAGTGCACCAGCACCAAAATGACCAAATCAGGATAAAGGACTGTGTGAGCTCAGAGAGTGGAGAGGACCACTAATGGCACTACATTTCATTCAGTTGGCAGATGCTTCTGTCCAAAGAGACTTTTCCCCCCACATACACACATCAGGAGCAATTTGGGATTCAGTGTCTCGCTCAAGGACAATTGAGCAAAGTAGAGAATCAAACCCAGCCAAAGCTGGATTTATAGTCCACACAAGGGGTTAACAGGTGTCCCCAATATCCTGCTGTGTGTTTACACTCTGTCATTTACATCCAGGTGACATTATGTCACTTTCAGGATGACTGCTCTGCAATTGCAGCATTTTAGCTCATAAATTCATAGTGAGCAGTGATCACAGTGAGGTCTGCAGTGTCATACTTTTGCTCCACGTGTATACTGAAAAGATGAAGCCTACAGAGTCTTCTGTCAACTTGCTTTATGTTGGCATAAGTATCAACAGTCTGTGCCGGTGTGTACTTTAGATCACGCCTAATAACCTCGGTGAAAATGAAGTTTCTACTTTCCTGGCAGACGTTATTGGAGGACACACATTCTTTCAGACTGCATTTTAAACCAGCCACAGAACACATCCCCTCTCTATCATGCACAGACTCTGCCCTACTATCAACAGGGTTCCTACAAACTTTCAAAACGTTACCATGACTTTTCAAGGAATCACAGTGGTGCAGTCATGGCACTGCCGCCTCACAGCAAGAGGATTCTGGGTTCATATCCACCGGCTGTCCAGGGCCCTTCTGTGTATAGTTTGCAGGCTTTTCGAGCTCTATCCACTTGCACTGTTTCCACGTTCACACAGAGTGTCCACCACATTAAGAGCAGTCCCAAACCAACCAGCGAGGACTGGAAGTGGGTTATAAAACCCTCCAACACAGGCCTGCACCGATGCCGACTTACTGACCATGTGCAATGCAAAACTGTGTTTGTCATGGAAGAGGCTCCGTACAAATCAAGTTCCAAGCGAATACCCTGAGAAATGTAAACTGTACAAACTAAGACAGACATTTGATATTGTCGTAAAGATGTTGTCAATGTAAGGCTACGTTGAGGATCAAATATACACCTCTCTGGTCTCTATAAAACAGTAGTCATGTTTTCTTTACAGTAAAGTGTAACGAACTGTTGCAAAAGGAGCAGCTTAAAAACATCAGAGTGAAAAACAATAATATGTTCAAGAAAGTAAAATACAAGAAATGTCACAAGTACATCTCGGGGATACATTTTATATTCCTTTAGAGCTGCAACTAACAATTATTTTCATTGTCTACTAATCTGTCGATTGTTTCGATTAGTCGACTAATAATTTTATCGAAAATTGTGTTAAAATGTTGAAAAATGTCGGTCTGTCTCCACCAAACCCAAAAATTATGTCATCTAATGTCTTGTTTCATACTCACGCCAAAGAGTTTTTAATTCACCGTCATGGGAGAGTGTGTAAAGCTGCAAATATTTGAATGTAAGAAGCTGCAATAAGAGTATTTTGGGGTACTTTTATAGTTCTTTTCGAGGAAAAATGACTCAAACCGATTAGTCGACTACTAAAATAGTCACCAATTATTTTAATAGTTGATTAGTCATCGTTTAGTCGACTAATCGTTGCAGCCCTATACCCCTTTATGTATTATTTATTTCTTTGTTTATTACTTTATTTGCTTATTTATTGATTAATTTATTTATTTGACTGGCAAAAGGATAATATGCACTACCAAAATTCTGGTAAACAGCAGCAGGAATCAAATAAATGTGATACAAATACAAATAAAGAACTTTAAATGGGAGTTCGAATAATGGGAGTATTATTACTTTTCTCCATGGTTACGACAGCTCCTTTTTCTTTCTCAGAGCTGCAAAGCGTGTCCCAAGGCTTGCTGCTGTGTTTACACTCTACACCTGAATGTAGGGAGCTTCATTAAGCTGTGAAGGTGACTACAAATGGAGTGACACTCTGAGACAGAGTGGGAGTGGTTACAGTCTGGTTTTGTAAAGGCCCTGCATGTTTTTTCCGTGTCAGTGTGGGTTTCCTCCAGGTGCTCCAGCTTCCTCCCACAGTCCTAAGACATGCAGATTAATTGGTGACTCTAAATTGTCCGTAGGTGTGAATGTGAGTGTGAATGGTTGTCTGTCTCTATGCATCAGCCCTGTGATAGTCTGGTGACCTGTCCAGGGTGAACCCTGCCTCTCACCCAATGGACCAGGATAAGCAGGTACGGAAAATGAATGAATGAATACAAAAGGAAAAGCCTGGCCGATGGATCCCAATTAATAATCCTTTTTACACAGAGAAGGCGCTATAGAGACGCTAAAAAGTCCCTCCTTTATGCTGCCTTTGCATTTTTACACAGAAGCAAACAACTGTGGCATCATGTTGCTCTAGTGTGTGATTTTAGACAGCATGCCGGCATCACGGAAGCAAAAGAGGCATGACATGTAACACAACAGTGTCGGCCTCTTGTGTGACATATAACATACATGTCAGCAGCGCTTCATGAACAGTAACAATGGCATTAACATGACAATTACGAACATTTACCGTCTCTGTTATATGGTGGTTGATCTTGTCCTCTGCTCAGAGGGTAAAGAGCTCCTGGACCTCATTGTTTTCCCAGTTTGCGGACATTTACAGCTGGTGTTTCTCTGCTTTGAGTTAGCTGCTAACTGCTATCAACTACTTTTTAAAATCTCCTGCAGTGGGTTGCACGCATAACATGTCGTCAAAATGTTACACTTGTGCCGTCCATGATGCCATTCTGCCAGCTGTCCCGTTTATACAGACCTTGTTTCGGTGCTGTCTATTACTATCTCCGATGCCGCCTTAAAGGTGAGACAACTCTGTCCCCTCATTCCGCACTTGTACTTTTTATACAGAACAGCAAGGCGACATAACAACACGATACTCCTGCCATGAACAGGCAGTGTAAAAGACGCTTTTGGTTTGATGCCATCTGCTGCCTTTTGTTGTGGTGTGCTTAGTTAAAGATCTACAGGCTTCAGTTGCAGAATAATAATCCTCGTTTTTCCCAATTTGCAGATATTTTCAGCTACTGTTCTTCTTCTTTGAGTTAGCTGCTAACAGCTGCTTTTTTAATCACCCACAGTGGGTCGCACACATAGCACGTCAAAACGTCGTACCCATCTTGCCCATGATACCATCCTTCCTGCTGTCTTGTTTATACAGACAATGTTTCAGCACTGTTACTACCTCACGTGGCAGCTTAAAGGTGAGACAACTCTGTCCCTCCACTCCGGGATCGTGTCTTATAGAACAGGGAGGTGGCATAACAGCACAATGTTCCTGCCGTGAACAGGCAGTGTTTAAGGGGCTAATGTGAGTTTTCAGACACCTGAAACACAGAAATTTGAAGTGTGGAAAATACCTGCAGCTGGAAGTCCAGTAACTATGTTGGGCTGCTCCAGTGACCTGCAGACAGGCTGACCACTGAAGGCACTGGTGTGGAGAGAGCGCAGGAAGGGAGCGGAGCTACTGCACACATAGTTTGCTGTCTTGTACTCAGCCACAGAGCTGTCTGACAGCACCGTCACATTCAGCTGTCTGTGCTGCAGACAGCCAAATACCTACGAGAGACAGAGACACACAACATCACCTTCACCACTGTGATCACCCCGAGAAATGCCCTGAATTTCTCTGCATAACAACACAATTTCATCACAGAGCCATCAACATGGTTCTGCTGTATAAACGTACCTTTTCTGTCCACTGGAAAAGCTGGTCCTCAGCTATGTAGCAAGTCACCTGGCAAACCAAAACCTTCAAAGAAAGAAACACAAGAGACATTTTACGCAACAGTCATAGATTAAAGACATGCTTAACTTTGTGTGAAACATACAGGTGTCACTTAAAGACAGGAAAGACTGATAATACAGATGGATGACAAATTAAAAAGTAAAAACTAACACATGAAAATGTTCTCATTTCACAGTTTGTACATCCTTGATTCCTTTCCTCTCCTCCTCTCCTTGCTTCTTAGTCCTTCCCACCTGAGATGCAAGCAGAGGAGGCAGAGAAGAGACACGAGGAGAGAGGAGTCCAGGAAAAAGGCATTTATCAAAATGGAGCTGTCATTTTAAAGTGGCAGAAATAATGTATATTCAAAACTTTTCCAAAAATTCTCTCAGGCCATAGAAAAACAGTTTTTCTAATTTTACTAATACATTTTTCAGGAATTTCTTGACTGTGGGAACCCTGATTGATTGCAGCCCTAAACCACACATACATACTCATACTGACAACCCCAACATAGCCCCTTTGTGTCCGGACCCCTTTTACATGTAATTTATACTCACCGGCCACTTTATTAGGTACACCTTGCTAGTACCGGGTTGGTTCCTTTTTAATTCTACGGGTCATAGATTCAACAAGGTGCTTAGGGTTGGGTACTGTTCATAACTGAACCGATACAGTACCGGTACCAGTATCTGGAATTCGGTACCGGTACCAAACGGTACCTTATTTCAGTACTTTTTAAAGTCTAAACTTCTCAGTTTCAACATTTTATTGAGAACATTTAGGAACAGTACTGCACGTTAACTTTTGTCTGCACATGCATTTATTTTGAAAATTCAATAAAACCATTTAATTAGAAATAAATACAATTCCTTAAATTGTGTTTCCCCTGCCTGCCTTGCACGTTGCGTCGCAAATATTACAGCGAGCACTGTCTCTGTCGACTGGCGTGAAGTGCAGCCAGACCTTGGACCGCTTTCGGCTCGCCATTGTTGCTGAGTCTGAGGTGCGAGTCATGTGCTCTCGCTCCACCTCCACCTCAGGTACCGAAATTTGGCACCGATTCATTTTAAGTGAATCAGTACTTGGTAGTACCGACGTGAATGTAAGTACAAAAAGTACAGAGTTTCGGTACCCAACCCTAAAGGTGCTGGAAACATTCCTCAGAGATTGTGGTCCATATTGACATGATGACATCACACAGTTGCTGCAGATTTGTCGGCTGCACATCCATGATGAGAATCTCCCGTTCCACCACATCCCAAAGGTGCTCTATTGGACTGAGATCTGGTCACTGTGGAGGCCATTGGAGTACAGTGAACTCATTGTCATGTTCAAGAAACCAGTTTGAGATGATCTGAGCTTTGTGACATGGTGCGTTATCCTGCTGGAAGTAGCCATCAGAAGATGGGTACACTGTGGTCATAAAGGGATGGACACGGTCAGCAACAATACTCAGGTAGGCTGTGGTCTTTAAACCATGCTCAGTTGGTACTAAGAAAATCTCCCCCACACCATTACACCACCAGCAGCAGCCTGAACCGTTGATACAAGGCAGGATGGATCCATGCTTCCATCTGAATGTGGTTTTTCCAATCTTCTATTGTCCAGTTTTGGTGAGCCCGTGTGAACTGTAGGCTCAGTTTCCTGTTGTTAGCTGACAGGAGTGGCACCTGGTGTGGTCTTCTGCTGCTGTAGCCCATCTGCTTCAAGGTTGGACGTGTTGTTCGTTCAGAGAAGGTCTTCTGCAGTAACCAGTGGTTATTTGACTTCCTGTTGCCCTTCTATCATCTTGAACCAGTCTGGCCATTCTCCTCTGACCTCTGGCATCAACAAGGCATTTTGGCTCACTGGATATTTTCTCTTTTTGGGACCATCCTCTGTAAACCCTAAAGATGGTTGTGCTGAAAATCCCAATAAATACTCAGACCAGCCCGTCTGGCACCAACAACAATGCCACGTTCAGAGTCACTTAAATCAACTTTCTTCATCATTCAGATGCTCCGTTTGAACTTTAGCAGCTCGTCTTCACCATGTCTACATGACTGAATGCATTGAGCCGCTGCTACGTGATTGGTTGATTAGAAATTTGAGATAATGAGCAGTTGAACAGGTGTACCTAATGAAAAGGCCAGTGAATGTCTATCCCCCTTGACTCTGAGTAACCTCTCTACTGTCCACTGTCAATAATAGGTTCATCACGATACAATATTATATCGATTCTTTGGACAAGGTTACAATATTTGCTGATACCACAAAGTCTGTGATGATATGATTTCTGAGATGAAAATGGTGACACAGACATGATCCAACTCAATGTACTGTTACACCCTGAGTCAATACAGGCAAACATGCACAAAATACACAGAGACACACACTCTCCAACCTATAGATGCTTTTAAATCATCATTAAACATTGAGGTTATGATAACGGGAATTTGAGTCCATCAGTACATTAATAGCTGACAGGTGTTGCAGTATGTGTTGTTCACAGCTGCTTCACACTGAATGAAAATCTTCTCCTTCCGCTCATTAAAACGCTGCAGCTGTCTGAAGGCAGCAGAACAGGAACGTGTGATAAATCTGACGCTTCACACACAGCCGTTAACTATGTTTATCTTGATTAAATCACGTGCAAACGACACCAGGCTGATAGAAAATAACCACACACACCTCCACACACACCAGACTGGTCGGTTATAACTCTGTGTTCTGACAGTTTGTGGAGGAGACTGCAGATTACGGCTCATTAATTCTGGATGTCACAGACTACTTTTTCAACTTCTGTAACTGAAGTGGGGTTTCATTTTATTCTTGAAACAGCTTCATTATGACATGATGTGAGAGGATTCATGCATTATATAAAGTGCTTCAACAAACTATTACTGTTTCTATGATTAATTCTTATTGTCATCAGAAGCATCTGCATTCCTTATGATGCTCCAATTAATTCAGGCTTGCTTTAATGTGTCGTCTGTTTGTAGCTTCACAATAAACTGTGCACAGCCATTACGATGCGCTCGAATTACACAAGGAAATAAACAAACAATTTACATAGACGATCAGGAGCAAACTCATTAAACTGAACGATTATTATTGAAGTTTACAACAGGTGCTTTCTGAGGCATTAATCAAACAGCACAAACACACGCTGCTCTGCTCAGTGTGTCACTCACTGATGGGTTGTCCTTGTGTCGGTAGAAAACGCACGCTGACTCCTCGCTGGTTTGCCCAGTTACAGCCCCGCTCCTCTCGTTCCACACGGATGCATGCCCCACTGCGTCCCAGTTTTCAGAGGTGAGGACGTACGCTGACAGACACCCTGTGGAGACAGACCGACATTAAAATTACACACCTCTTCTCACAGCAGACATCGGGACAGGTCTAACTACTTTCATTTAGAGCTGATACAATTCATAGATTGATCATCTGACAGAAAATTAATTGGCAACTGTTTTGATAATTGATGATCGTTTAACAGAAGAGATAGTGGTGGACTTTTAGGAGGATGGCGTATGATCACTCTCGCTGTCCATAAACGGCTGCACAGTGGAGAGGGTCAGGACTACTAAGTTCCAGGGTGTGAACATCTCTGATGACCTCACCTTGGGTCTCATTTACAAATCTATGCGTAGGATCCATGCTTAAATTGTATGTACGGACAAAAGCCAAAAATTTCTACAATCAGGCTTCCACCTCACCATCTGTGTCTCCAAAATGTCTGTAAGCACGGGTCAAAGTTTCTATAGATTGCAGCTTTTGTGCGGGAAGTGGCGTACGCCTCTTTCAAGCCTCGTTACGGCATACACAATGTTTAATGAGACTCCTGGGCACTATTTCAGAAAGCAGGATTAGTGAAAACTCTGAGTATGTTGAGCCTTCACTCATCTCAGTTCAGTGTAACCCAACCCGAGTCAGTTACTATAGCAACATACTCAGTAAAGCAAACCTACTGGCTCACTGAGCATGAAGCAGGAAGGAGAGACATAGCATGTGAATAAAGTTGTCGTGTTTTAAGGATTTACGGCAACAGATATTAAGTGTAACGTCGAGCTGCTTTAATGCTGAACAACATTATAATTGACGAAGCTTTTCCACAGCCAACAACACAAGATACAGAACTTCAGCTCAAACTACTTCCTGTTACCAACCTTTCAAAATAAGAGCATGATGCAATGTATTGAATACCACCACAAAAGTTGTGAGGGACAATTTATTCAGAGGCTGTAGCATCCAGAGAAGGTGATTAGACCCAGTTTGGACGTCTTATCTTTCCCGGAGGAGTGTCTATATGAAAAATACAGTTTCACCTCACACTCTATCATTTATCTAACAATCTGTTCCACCCACATGTATCAAATATTACACAGTGGATTTACATTATCATTGCAGCAAATTTTATGCACTGCTCTTTGATTCTTTTCTTTATAAAATCACAGACACTGAAAACATCAGCGAGGCAGCGGTGTGTCGGGCTGTAAGAAAAGTGTTTCTGGCTCTGAAAAGACTTTTGCCCGTTTTTGTGGTTTTCCCTGAACATAAATCAAAATGGATCATCAAAGAGGAATTCCACAGAACTGCAGGTTTGTCAGTGTTAATAAGAAATTAATCTACGTGGACACATGACGCAGTGATTCATGAATACTTTTCATATATTCAAAGATTCCGCTGTGTAATTGGCTCATTTATGGGACTCAACATCCCATAATAGCTCCATCTGAGCATAAAGGAGATTGCGTGAATTGGAAGTCATTTCACAGCGATTCAATTAACCTCAGCCTTTTATTGACAGAATATTAGTATAAGCAAAACTTTTACCAGTCTGTACAATATCTTTGTGTTTGATGTTGAGTCACTGCCCAGTGTGTTTGGGCTCCATCCGATTACAGCTGAATAAGAGGACATAGCAAATGATATTAAAATACATGAACACTGTTACGATATAAAAATGTTCTATATTCTCTGTATATTAGACGCATTAACGCATCACATTATATAACATCATTTTCCCATGACAACTCACGCTGTTTAGCTGCAGCATTAGATGTTTTGGGGTTATTTGAAGACATGTTCAAAGTCTTTATTCATGGTCAATAAAATTCAGTTGGGCTGAAACAAGTGGCTCTGCTTTTAACTCCACTTTCTGCCACTGAGAATCATGTTACCTGCACTCCACTGATGATGGCTTGTGGTGCTCACCGTGAACGAGCTTCCCTCAGGCTGAACAAACTCAGAGCTGATTGAGCTAATTCTGATCACCTGTTGTGGAACTGAAAACTCAGAGTTTCCCAGCTCAGGCTCCGTCAGCTCGGAGATCAGGATTAGGCACAGAGTTTGTTGAGCCTGCTTTCTGAAACTGAAACCAGGGCCTTGGTCTCTTAGCTGTGTGAAAAGCTCAACAACGCCTCCACTTCCTTTGAAGACTGAAGAGAGCCAGCTTACCGCCGCCTGTCCTCGCCATGTTCTACAGAGGCACTGTGGAACGTCTCCTGACCTGCTGCATCACAGTATGATATTGAAACAACAAAACATGTGAGTGAAAGACCCTGCAACGAATTGTTAGAGCTGCAGAGAGGATCATCGGGGTTTCTCTTCCCACCATCCAAGAGGCGGTGCACACGCAGAGCCTTTGCAACTGTAAAAGACCCCTCCGTCTGTTCTCCCCTCTGCCATCAGCCAAAAAGTTCCACAGCATCAGAACCTGTTCCACAAGGTTCTGCAACAGCTTTTCCCCACAAGCTGTTAGATTTTTTTAACACTTTGCTGCCATCCACATGATGAGGGCTCATACACAGCATGGATATTTACTGTATGACCACTACTTTATTATCCTGCAAAAGTGTTTTTAATAAACTCTGAAACAAATTTTAACTGTTATCCAGATCATCATTTTGCTGATTTATCAGTTCATTACTATGCAATTTATTTCTCCACACTTACCTATCTTTATTCTTATGAGTATTCACAATGTACTTTATTGCACTTTAATGTTGTCCTGTCCACGTTAAATGTTGTGTTTGCTATGTGCTCTTTACTGCATTCATGGATTCAAAAATTAAATTGTTCCAACTTCTCAACTGTGAGGATTTTCTGCTTTAATTTGATGTATGCGGTGGTAAAATGAATACATTAAGGTTTTAGACTATAACATGTCTTCCTAACACACAGCGAGCGAGCGAGGTCTGACAGATGGAGCCCGAAAATTGTCCAGATATACTGTGAGTGATGTCACAGCATGAGGAGTTTATTTAATCTAAGATACTGGGTGTTAAGGCCCTGACACACTAAGGCCACGGTCAGTGTTTTCCTGCACTGTCGCCCCTTGTTGGCTTTTTTTCAGTCGATTCAGCATGTTGAATCAGCGTCAGAGACAGTGGAGCCTGTAAGTGAATAAAATCACTCTGATTGGCTCTTTGAACTCTTTAGCAGAAATGTTTCCTGGTGGTTTGTGTTATTGTTCAGTGATGCACAGTAAGTATGTTCTGTTCTTTCAGCGTTGTATTGTTAATGTGCTAAATGGCCAACTAGGCTAACTAACTACAGACTACTGACACCTGCTGGTGTTGAGTTATTCATCCTTTATCTCACGCAGTTGCAGATCATACATGCTGGTTGGCCAATTGTTATAATCTTTGCAGTGTGTTCATGTTAAGGCTGTGCACTTAATCGTCTGGTGATCGCGATTATGATTTTGAGGTCTGGAGATGTTATTTTGTCTTCTACAGAAGCCGTGCATGCGTAATACCGCCTGGTGAACTACGAATAATGCGAGGGGCAGGTGATCGCGGAAGATTTCAAAAACAGCGTGCGGAAAATGGCAGAGGGAGAGCGAGAGAGGTTGCGCACGTGTCTGTGTGTGTGCGCGCATCGGGTCCGAACTCCTCTGTGCGTGATACAGAAAGCAGAGGAGAATTGTAAACGTGCGACCACGTAGAGACAGAAATGACATGCCATCGTGTAAACAATATAAGCCATCACGTGCGTCGCATAATCGTTTGCATAATCAGGGTTTCAATTTTAACCAAAATAATTGTAATTATGATTTTTTTCCATAATTGAGCAACCCTAGTTCATGTGCTACTTTTTTGGCCGAGACACAGGCGACGTGAGGCAACGCAACAGTTGGCTTTCATTGCTGCTAGTTCTCTGATGTCAGTTTGGTGTGTCTCATCACAGGTAATGTAGCAGACAGGAGAGTTGCAACACTGGAAGCAGCCACTTACTGGAAGCGTTGTGTCCCACAGCGAGGATGAAGTCTGAACACTGCAACTTGTTTCCGGACTTCAGCGACTCGGAGACGTCAGGGCTCCAGTGCAAATGAACCTCCCTGATAAAAGACGTGCGTTAGAGAAGAAAGAACAGTTGTGGAAAAACACTGTGCACCTAAAATATTTATTAAATCCATCAGGGTAGCAGGTGCCTGAAAATAACGCCATTACGTCCTTGAATCAATTATTTGCAAACAGGTTTCTTCAGCACTGTTCACCTTACCAACATTGTTATGGTCTTATTTCTCAGGTTTTTACTCAAACTTTAATGTTAACACAACCTCTGTCTACTTAAATTAATCTTCTTGACCACAATAACCAGAACACCCTCCCCTAAACAGTGGTGTACATTTGTTCAAACATTAAGTAGGAGCATTTTGAGGTATCTGAACTTGTTCATGTAATGCTTCTTTGTACTTCTACTCCAGAACAATTCAGGTGGAAATATTATATTTTTCACTCCACTATATAAAAATATTTGACAGCTGCAGTCAAGACAGGACTGCCAACCGTGCAACCTGAGGCCCATAAAGCTCAGGGTTCACTGTGTGTGATCATTCAACTGTAACTTTATTTGGAAATATGCACCACTGAAGTACTTTATCAACTGCCATGATGACGGCCTTATGGTGAAACTGTTTTAAAATAAGTGTGACATGCCTTTTACATTCAGAAGAGGTGCTAATTCAACTTTATGATCACTTTATGATCGTAGTTTGTGGTGCTGTTGAGCTGTCCTGCATTATACAGAGAGGTATTTCTGTTATTACACCTGCCGTAAATGGGGTGGACAAAAAAACGGAAACACCCGTCATTATAGCAGCACAAACCACAGCCCCAAAAATGAAAGTAAAGATGCATCAACACTCTAAATCAGCTTCAACTACAATTACAACATTATAACATTCAGGTAGGATTTACTGCAATACTGGTGCCTTAGACTGTAGTAGTTCAAACTGAGTGTACCTAATTAACTGGCAACTGAATGTATGTCTTTGCTGACAAATGCTGATAAAACCTGTAATAACACAGATCCATTACTTGGTCTTGGTTTTATTCATTTGTCTTTTTCATTTCCTGGTGTGTGTGTGTGTGTGTGTGTGTGTTTTACTGCCATTGCTGTCATTAGTTTTATTATATCATTATCATTTATTTTATTCACGTTGGTCTTTCTTGTTTATCTTCCCCCTGACTTTTCTTGTTTTTAACTTCCTCACTTTTATTTTTTTCTAACGGGATTTGCTGCCTCAATCCTCAGTGATGTCCTCTTTGAAAAGACCAAACTGATTGGAAAAAAAATAAAATAAAATAAATTAAAATATTAAATAATAAAATAAAACATATCTACCATTGTTGCTGTTAGTTTTATTGTCATATAATTAATTTACTTTGGTTGTTCTTGATTATTTTCTACTGCCTTTTCTTATTTTTTAACTTTGCTTTTTTTAATCGTCTGTTATATTATCTTTGCACACACTGAAAAGAGAAAAGAAAAGAAAATAATAATAATAATTATAATAATAATGATAATAAATTAAAAAAAAACAAAAAATCGACCATTGTTGCTATTAGTTTAATTTCATCAATATCATATAATTAATTTGTACATGTTGAGGAGAATATTGCTTTGGAATAAAATAAAATAAAATAATAAAAGATAAAATAAAATTAGTACCTACCATTGTTGCTATGAGTTACATTATCATATAATTAATTTATTTTGGTCTTTCACATTAATTTCTTTTCTTTTTTTTAACTTTTTTTTTTTTTTACTAATTAAAATTGTCTCTCATAATACTTTGTCATTATCCTCTTGTACACCTCAAAGAAAAAAACAGATTGTAAAAAGAAGAAACAAATAAACAAAATCATAGAAAATAATAATAAAAATGAAAGATAAAAATGTCAACTGCTGTTATTACATGATTATCATATAATTATTTTATTTATTTCTAATTTATTCTTCTCCTACCTTTCCTAATTTTTAACTTTGCTTTTATGTCCTTTCTACAGATTGGAAAAAACAGAGAAATAAATAAAATAACAAAAAATAAAATAAAAAATATATCTATCATTGTTGCTATTAATTTTATGACATCATTATCACATCATAAATTTACTTTGGGTTTTCTTTTTATTCTTCTCCTACCTTTTTCTAAATTTTTAACTTTAACTTTGTTTTTATTTTCTTCCAATAACAAAGTCTGTCTTAATTAATTAATGTCTTATTTCCTCTTTGTACACATTGAACATAATAAACAGATTGGAAAAAATAAAGATATAAATAAAATGATTTTTAAAAATGATTTTAAAAAAATATCTCTGTATCTATAACTACATTATAGTATGTTAGGTGGTGTAATAATAGGGATGGGCGTTAAAGTGTTAACGTTATTCAAATATCATGTGTCATGTTAGCTAGCTACCTCAGATGCTAAATAACGTTATATCAAAGAGTGGCGGGAGATATTAACAAAGGGAAATATAAAGATGAAGGCCACATATAATTTCACGTATTAAAAGTAATTTCTAAATCTTTATTGAGCGTTAATTAATATAATATTTCCACGCTTTCTGACTCCCTGTCTCCATGCTAACGTTAGCATGCTAACATTATTTACCTCTTTTCCTCCAGCTCTCTGCGGATTTCTTCATCTTCTTCGTTTTCATCGAGCTCCTCTTCATCTTCCTCCACGGCCCGAGAGTACACCGACAAAACTTCACCGAAAAACGTCGCCATAATCACGAGGTTTCCTGGGGAAAACGAAAGTTTGGCTAGTGGTTCAGACCTGCAGCCATGACACACATCCGCCACTTCCGCCGGAAGCGACACCCCTTCAAATTAAAAACCTCAAACCTGGAATCCTTCAGAATAAAAAATTCAGCAAAACTGGACAAAAGCTAATCTCTCAAAACAGATTCTGCAATTTACATTGGAAGAAAAAAATTTTTTTTTCTTTTTTTTTTTACCGATGGATTTCCAGATTGGACAAAAGCAAACAATATAATATAATATAATATAATATAATATAATATAATATAATATAATATAATATAATATTTTAAAAATCTCTCTTTCAAGAGTGTCCTGGCCAGGACCGGCAGTAACATCAGTTAGACAACATAGCACAAAAATACAAAATCAAAATATGCAAATCCAAAACAAGCAATATAGAACACAAAAAGAACACAAAATCAAATGACTACGAGGAAAAACTCAAAAGAACATTGATATAAAACAGGGGCAACTACAAAAAAATTAAGAAGTCCAGCTAAAATACACCCTGACATACAATCAGTCAAATCAGTCAAAAGTCCAGCTGTCAGGGAAAACTAGACTGAGCATTAAGTTCCTTTACAGCAGTGCCCTAAGTTCAGATTCAGTGGGCTAGAAGGACATGAATATACATTAGAAATCACAATAAAATGATGAAAAAAGTCCATAAAAATAAATAAGTAGCAGTAAAGTCTATCAAGAATTATAAACAACAATGAAAAATAGTAAAAACTGTAACTGCCGTGAAGGATGGATACATAACAATAACAACATTTTAAAAAAAAATTGAATTTAAAAAATGTGGAGGAAAAAAAACATTGGCATAAAAATGATAACATACAAAATATCTGAAACAGCCTACAGAAACCAGCGAGTGCAATTAGAAGTCCTTCCACATGTATATTTAGTTTATTTTTAATATTTATAGCATATTTTTGTACAACAAAAATCAACAATGACATTTGTAAACAGTGGGACAATAGTGCACTGGTGTACAGTGCAAAGGGCACTGGAATAAAATGTGAAATAATTAATGGAACAGGTAGTTTATATACACTGTACAAGAGGTGGGTGGATCTGACATTATCAACAGTAAATACATCCTGCTTAGGTTTATATTTGACATTTGTGATATCTGCATGTTTAAAAACTGTGTATTTAAACCATAAAAATATATAATTTACTGTGCAGTTTTACAGGGTAATCACACCACTTTGAATGTGCCTATGGACTTGTGTGTATATTGTGTAAAGACACACATAAGATTAGCATATGCTTTATTGTGAATCAAATTCCAGCACATAAGATCTGACTAAATATTTAAAATGCAGACAACATACAGTCCATGCAAATGGAGACGTGCAACACCAGTCGCTCTCCACAATCCCTGTGGGGAGCTCAGAGCCCCGGCTGCCTGCATGAGTACTGCCTGTCCAACGCATTTCTGTCTGAGCTCCTCACTTAAATCAATGAATGATTTAAGGCCGTGTCTCTCCAGTGGATTCACATGGTGTTTGGTTATACAATGCATAGGGGCGCGTATATGACTAACAATTAAGCTTAGGAATGCTTCATGTGCTATTTCTGGCCCTTGTGCCAATTAAGGGCAAAGCTGACGTACCACATGACTCTACCAGCTTCTTAGTGGTAATATATAATTAACATGAGTGGCAGAAACAGGAAAACATAATTCTTAGAGGATGCTGGCAGGTCGTTCGGTTGTATAGCTCGATGGAAACACAAGCCAAGTCATGTTAGGGCAAATTGGCCTCAAGATGACTGCGGAACATCCATCCTTTCCATTGTGTTGTATAATTCATTTTCCTGTAAGCGGTGCCCCGGGAGATGAGGGACAAACAGAAATGTGATGACATCAGCACGGCCATAAAAATGCTTCATTGTCACCAGAAAAAATGTCTAGTGTTGGAAAGACAAATTGGATGGTGGGGCAAAGCCTGGAGTAGAATAGAGAGTAAGCTCTATTACCAGTGCAGTGCGATAATGTAGCAAGAGGCCATAAAGTAACAGCACAAAGGTTTCCTGTCACAACATGGGGCAACATGCTAGGAGGAAGCTTCAGGCTGCTGTTAATATAATTGATAGTGGAGGGAGAGATAGAGGAAGAGTGGGAGGGAAGTTCTGCAGCTTAGCAAACACGAAAGCCCCCAGGCTCCTGACAACAAGAGAGGGACGTCAACAACAGGACAAACAGGGAATGTCACAACACTATCGACTTTAAAAAACCAAACGGGACAGTAAGAGGACATCCACAATGAGCCTGTCTGTCTTTATCTTGCCCCAGCAGGACCTGAGGATAGCGTTCGTCTTTCCTACTGGCCAGACTGCCATGCTGGTTGGCACGCACAGATATTTTAATAGGAAGTGGTTCAGTTACAAAAAGACCCCCCCCCCTCTTCTTGCACAAATTAAGTAATTCAAGGGCACAAATTCAGAAGCGTACAAGGTTTATTGCCAAGTGGGTTTTCGTATAAAAGAAATTTGCCTTGGGGTTTTGGTGCATATCAATTAGCATAGTAAGAAAAATATGTAGGAGTTCTACAACAGTCTAGTCTGTGTCGGTGGGGGTCCTGGGCTTTGTTGACGAGACCGTTCAGCTGCAGTTGGGAAGAAACTTGTTACTGTGCAAGGTTTTGGTCCTGGACCACAGCCAGTGGTTCAATCTGGAGATGTTCCAATACCACTGAATTTGTGTATTGGACGATACCGAGTACCGATCCAATACCATGCCCCCTAAAAATATAGCTGTATACTATTAACCCTGTATGAATGTGAAATGATTGCTTGTCTGGCATGGCTCAGGTTAAACCATACGCTGTAAAAACACTGGACCAAGCTACCGTGATGTCGCCCTGTGATTTGTGGACTCCCATTCTGAAGCCTCAAGTTTGGTACTTCGGCACAGATGGCAGAAATTTTCCTCAAGGGCTTTCTACCAGAACGGGATCTCTTGGTTAAGGTTAGGGAAAAAAGTTGTGGTTGCGGTTAAAATGAATAGATTTCTGTCAGAAAGGGCTTTGTTGGGCTTTGATGACGAGGCCATTCAGCTGCAGTTGAGAAAAAACTTATTACTGTGTGAAGTTTTGGTCCTGGACCGTAGCCAGTGGTTCAATTTAGAGATGTTCCCCTGATACCAATTCTGAAGCCTGAACTTGTGTATTGGACAATACAAATTGTAAAACCACTGGACCAAGCTACTGTGATGTCCCCATCGATTTGTGGACTCCGATTCTGAAGCCTCAAGTTCAACACATTCTCACTCCGACCGAAATGTCACATATTGACATTTGGTCATGGACTTTCCACGTCCACATAAGACGTCCAAGGTACCCTGGGTGTGTTGGTTGTTGACGTTCTGGGACGCCATGTCTGCCTGTTACATGCATTGTCTGTTTTCAAAATACACTTCTGTTTTCACAGGAAATTTAACATTTACATACAGTCTCTTTCAAAATAAAAGCACTATGTTGGTACAACAATGCAAACTGACTTTTTTCCCCTTCAACAACAAACGCATGTGGTTGGGTTTAGGAAGAAAGAACAGGTTTTGGCTTTAGAATCTTATGGGACGCGAGCACCGCTCTCGGGTGAAAGTCGGCGTTTGTTGGACCCATCCACCAACCCTCCCACCTGCCCCAGTCGGACTTTCGGCGCTTTAACTTTCATCCTTGTTCCACAGCGTTTCCCCCTGACACCACCGGGCGCCATTAAACTACAACAGCAACCGGCCACGTATCATGCTGATGTTAAAGGTCAACTTTTTTTGTTGGTTTCTGTCACTGGTCAGTCACTGCTCAAGTGCCAGATTTTTGACAACTTCGGAGTGAGACCGGGCTCTCAAGTTTGGCACTTCGGCGCAGCTGGGAGAAATTTTCCTTGAGGACTTTCAACCAGAAAGGGATTTCTTGGTTAGGGTTTGGAAAAAAGTTGTGGTTTGGGTTAAAATTAATAGATTCTTGTCAGAAAGGGTCTTCCCGGAGAAAGCCTACAAGGAAAAAATCTACCATGTGCACATTTCGGCCCTCGCCATCTTGTTTCTTTTGGAGCCAGAAGTGACCATATTTGGGCAAGAGGCTGGTGTGGTGGAGGAGCGAGGGGTGGATCAGAATGAGAGGCACAGGACACTATTGGCAGAATGCCTGTCACTCAAAGAGGCTCATCCTTAAATATGTGTAACAAGGCAGATGATATGGACAGAAAATAAAAACATGCCCCCTCAAAAAAAACGTTCACAGTTGTTTTCCCTTTCTTTAATTTTTTTAACCCAACCCCCTAGTATCGAGAAATGCTCCCAGTACTGCCTAAAATGCTGGATCGGGTACCGGCAAGGACTTGAGTCTATGCACAGATCCGATACCACATGATTTATTAATTTTATTTTTAAGTAGTTTCACACATACAATGATAGTTTTCCTGGAAATAAATTCTTCTTCACTGCTCTAAAACAGTAGCCTCCACACAGCAAGTTACACTGTAGCTAAAGCCAAAATAGATTTCTGGTAAAAATTGTAACATTAGCTGTTAGCAAAAAATGTCAGCTGTTCATGCTCATTTTCTGTATGTATTTTTTCATGTTTTTACAAAGGGTTTCCACCAAGCGGCAACCTCTGTGGCTGTTATGTCCTTTTGTTGTTGCTTATCTTTATGATTACTTTGTTCACTTAGACAACTAATATTAATTTTATTACTATCTGACAGGTCATCAGTCACTTGAATGCGCTGCCATCCATCATTGCGGCTTCCGTCAGCTGTCACCTGGCTGTCAGTCTGTCTGCGGCTCAGTCGATGTGATGATCTTCAGCTCCAGTGGCAACCTCTGAGGCTGTAAAATCAACACATTCTCACTCCGACCTCGTCACATATTGATGTTTGATCATGGACTTTCCATGTCAACGTATGACATGTGACGTACCCTGGATGCGTTGGTTTGAGTGACAGGCTGTCTGCAGATAGTGTCCTCAGCTTCTCAGTCAGATCCTCCAAAAAAAAAACAAAACAGCGTCACACTGAAACCTACGTTAGTACCAGGTC